GTGCTGCAGGTGGCCTGATGTGCCACCTCTGAGGTCAACAGCAAAATACCTGTGTGTCAGTGTGGGCAAGGTCTTCAGACGGTTGACATAGGAAAGCAAAACAGAAAATCTGTCCTTAAAGTCTTGGTTTGACAGTGAGACTCCCCAGCTCCTACTGCTTTCCTAGGATCCCAGCTCTGACTCCACCTCAGTTTCACTGCTGTTTGCTGATTTTCCTGTGTATTTCAACAGGATGCACTGATACAGATTATTACTGCATCACAGTCCAAATGAGAGGCAAATCACTGACCTTTATGCAGGAGAACGAATCCCTTAGGTGATACAGCTGTTTTGCAGCAGTGGCTATCTTGGATCTCTCTGATGCCAAATGCACTGCTGTGAGAGAGACAGGGACACAACTGAGTGAAAGGCAGCTTCTCCTCTTCTGGATGCTGCACATCTCAGCAGGCACAAATTAGGATGTCTTGGACAGACCCACTGCCTGTTTACACCAGCTTCGTGTGGAGACAATACTTTAAAGGCTATTCCTTGAGCTGGATGAAATGGGCTGTCTACACCCTGACACACAGGACAAGGGAGGGCAACTGTAAAGATTTCCTCAAGTGCCATCGTCACTTGCTCTTGAGCGCACCTTCTCTCCTGTGTTTGATCTACCTGATAGCTAAACTGGCATAAACCAAGGTGATGTTATTAGTAAGACCCTGGCATCACAAACACAAAACCAGCCGAATCTCCTCAACTTTGAACTTGTCCAGGTCAGAACTTTTCTGGAATCTGTAAGGTATCACTCGTGCATCTTTTATATGTAAAAGCCTCCTTTCTCTTACTTGTGGCCAGGACAAGTAAGATGTGGTGCATATGCAGAACAGACTTCTGGGACATATCCATCCCTCCAGTTTGATAGTTCCTGGGAGCTGTGCTCAGACAGCAGGTTCTAGCTTGTGCTATGTGAAAGTTGCATCAAGGAAAATACTGGCATGGGATAATAAATGATATTTCAAGGTGACCAAAATATAACTTCTGTGTCCCACAAGGATTTGTGTCACTACTGGCTTTAATGAATGGTCTAGAAGGGAATTTTAGGCAACAAATGTGATAGCATAAAGTGATTAAGAGCAATAAAAGCTGGAGGAGAAATGACAAAATCAAGTGGGGCCTAATAAAGCTGGATAAATGGGCAATGCAGCCACAAATGAAAGGTAATATTGTGGAATCAAGAAAATTTACACTAGAAAAAATGATGTTAACTCTTTTCATGCATCTCTGAGTTCTGTATTTTGCTCTGAAGAGACCTGGAATCCTTGACAGATGGTTTAAAGAACACTGCTACTCAGAGCCTTGGTGCGATGACCAGTGCAGAATAAGAGTGGCAGGTCATGCAACCTACCTAGACAAGGCAGAGATGGGTGATAGGAAAAGGAAAGGAAAACATCAGAGACTGTAGTGTTTGCCCATGGTCACTGGTAAAACCAAATGTAGGGCAGAGGGCTTGGGAATGTCTTGCCTAGGGCCAGACTGAGCAGCAGGGGTGAATCTCTAGAGGCCCAGCCATTAACTGAGAGACGTACATCTCCAGGGGGCCATAGCATCATACAGATGGCCAGGATGGGGGGAAATGAATCACTCTTTGTCTAACTCTGTTTGTTAGAGAGAGAGAGTTGAGATGGATTGCTTAGCCCATATGCTCAATTTTTAAGTGGCTGAAATTAGTAAAATGACTTGCATGCTCTGTTATTCTTTCCTCTGAACCACTGATTTGCAGCCGCAGCTGAGACTAGGGGATTGTTGCAGGATGGTAAGTCCTTTTTATTTTCCATGAGAACTGGCAGCCGTGGAAAAAATGTCATCAGAGAAACAAGCCAAAATGAATAGTGGTAAAAGCTCTGTACACTCAGACCAGCCTTGGAGCACAAGGGGATTAGGGACACTGGTGAGGGCACATAGGACCTTGTCCTGGCATTCTGACATTTATGCCCTTACAGCAGGGCAATGGATAGAGTGGCTGCCATGCAGAACTGGGACTGTCCCTTGGAGGTGTCTGGTGGTGTGGCAAAGCCCAGTCCCTCCACCATGGCAGGCTGAGCTCCCTGGCTGTAAACCATGAGCAGGTTTTACGTAGTGCTGCAAATGTTCATGCACACAGCCAGGGCTGCCCTTGAGCAGGAGGCTGAGGACCTGTGTCACCAGTGTGCTTGTTTCGCTGACAGTCCGTGGCACCATGCATTTCCTTTGGGCTTGGAGTCTCCTCTTCTACTCTGGGCCTGCTGAGCCCTGATGCCTCTGAAAATGGATCCTTTTCATATCTCATCAGCAAAACCATAGGGTTCTTCTGTTTTGTTTGTGGCAGTGTGATAGATGCAAGTGTTGGTTGTTGGCATAGAGATTTCACAGACTGCAGAAACACTGTCACCTGTTCCATAAAATGGAAAAAAAAGGTGCCAGGCTGCCAAGTGCCTACTAAACACCAGCTGGTAAGTGTCACAACATCAAGCTGTGCAGCTATTGACTGATCACAAGTGGAGGCAAACCTGAGGACAATCAGAGAGCCTAATGTTGACATGCAGCTTAGGAAGGTGGGTTATGAATTCCCCTGTGGCATGAGTGCAAGCCCCTGGCAAAAGGGCTGCTTTTCATAATGCGGGATACACACCCTGGGAAGCTGCTCGTGGCGGCTGCACAAACTCTCTGGCAGAGAACACGTCTGGAGGCTTCTGTGGACTCAAAACAGACCATCAGGCAGCTCATCCTGGGGTAACTCTCATGCAGGAGGTTGAAGGCAGTGTGATGCTGGACTGTACTTTTACACCCCATCCTCCCACTCTGCCTACGATAGGAGATTTAAACCATCATGGAATCAAGATATGAAGAACAATCTAGAGGCTTTTTTGTTACTGTAGACTGTGACTACTGGGAGAGACAGTAATTGTCTGAAAATACCAAATCATAGCTCTGTGGAGGGACAAGGTCATCTATGTGCACTGCAGGCTTGTATGGCTGCAAGGGGTACACACCTTATACTTCCCCTGGCTTTCAGCAATGAGTCTACTGATGCCTAGAAAAACTGTCTAGAGAGGTAACAGAGTTTTAACAGCTGAGGCTTTAAGAAGAAAGAGGCATCTGCTTAAAATATGTAAAACTATTGTTTAGATCAGACAGGGAAGCGGTGGAATAGATGTCCTCCTGCCTGTGTTCTGTGGTATCTGTCACGGCAGGAGGCAAGGAAGCTCTCAGACTTGCAGCAGCAGCTTTGTGTCCTTTAGACTACTTCCTTGATCATGATGACTGCAGTTCTAATTGAATGTTTTAAAATTAATATGACATGTGAGGGTGAGTGTTACAGTATGAGTAAAAGAATCACTATCAAATAATTATCAGTGCTCTTTCTGCAATGGTGTAAATTATGTTCAGGTGATAAGCAGAACCCTTGGCATACTATTTGTCAAGGCCCAGATTTTCATCACATCAGATTAACATGAAAGAAGTCACTAAAACCTTTTTTCTTTGGTGGATGCATAGCTCTCCAGGGATGCGTGGCATTGTGTGAGTCTATGGAAACAAGGCTCCTGCCTTAAATTGGTACAACCTAAGATTAGCAAAGGAGAGATATGCAATGTTTGTGCCCATCTGCAACAGGAAGTGAGAGTGGCATGCCCATAGTGGAAGTGTGGTAGCTGGGTGGTTATGTGCACTATGTGTGCACATCTATTTTCTGGGCAACTGGATGTGTAGAGAGTCCTTAGCTAGAAATAAACCTGCAAATTCCATTGCAGACTGTTCTGCTTTCAGAGGCCTTTTGCCACTTTCCTTGAAACTTGTGTTAGTGTAATTTCCCTAGCTCTTCTCATTTACACATGCAAACACCTGGACACAAAACTGACTGCAGAGTAAGAATAAATAGGTATTTTATCTTAGTCTGTCATGGCTCTGAAGGCATGAGACTTGTCAGGGCTGCGTAACTGGTTTCCAAGCCTATCAATGCCCCGGCCTTAATGTTTCAAAAAAATCAAGCAAGACTTTCTTTTGACTTCATCATGATTCGATTAGAAAAGTAACTAGTCTGGTGGGCTGTACTTGAGTAGATTCACTGCTGAGGGCAATGTCCAAGTGAACAATGATAAAAGAAGCAGACAATCTGCTCACTTCTGCAGACTGAAGCCTTGTCTCCTTGACATGATGCTGATGAACCATTTTTTCTTGATGCTCAAGGCATGTCAAGCTGCAGATAAGCACTAACTGCTGTGTGCAAAGTAGTCAATAAATTGCCATCAGACTTTCCCTTCTGTTTAACTTTTATTAAAAGAGGTGCTAAGGTACTGTACTGTATGCAGTACATCATATTTATTACCAAAATTAACAAATATACAAAACTTATACATGTAATTTTCTTACATCCATTTATTTGTCTATAATACTGCATTTGTTCAAGTAGGTTATCTACAGTATGTAAACATCCCTTGGATTGACCTCACACAGATTAGGAAAGCCCATCTAACCCATGTAGTTACCAAATATAGCTTTTTCTTTTTTTAAAATTTATTTGGCTTTCATTGGTAGAATCTAATCTTCACATTTGGCACATGGAAGAGACATCTACAGTGCAAAAGAGGCAGATTTTCTGGTTTTGTTCTGAGCAGTTTAGCAGAGTCATGGTTTAAAAAGAGTCAAGAAATAAATTTACACAAACTTGATAGGAGATGGATTAGTGTTAACGCCAGTGACTCACAGATCAGCCACTAAACTAGAGCAGAAATTCAAAGCCTCTTCCCCAGCCCTCTCAGTCACGTGGGAAAAGAACCTCCAACCTCAGCCTTGTTTCTAAAGGATTAAAAAAGAGCTCTGTTAGCAACAGAGGGAGGAGTTTAGTTTACAAGGAACCCTCTGAGATTCCAGTTTCAATTTTCTGCTTTGTGGATTTTTTCTTTTGTTAGCAAGCAATTCTTTTCTGTTTTAATGGGGAAAGAAATGACCAGTGGGAAGCAACTCTTCTGTGGGGACAACTTCTCAGTGAGTTGGAGATTACAGTTGGAGTTTATAGATCTTTGAACCCTGATGTATAGAGCTCAGTAAGCTGCCGTGTACAAAGGGGAGAGAAAGGAAGAGAGAGAGAGAGAGAGAGAGAGAGCAATGCCGTGGAGCTCTCCAATTTTGCTGTAAGAACCAGGAAAAAACTTCCTTCCTTCTGTTTCTCATAGGCTCAAAAATGTGACTTAATTTAACTGAGTAAAGCTGATCCAGAGAGACTTTCATTCACACCCTTCTTCCCATTCTCATCCAAGCACTGTATTGCTATTTTTTCATGAGGCCTCACCCATGTCCGTGGAAGCATCTGATGAGAATGGACCGAACTGGACACCGTTTCACATGGAAAGCCCTCTGCCATTCCTCTCCTGTTACCACAGAACCCCGCTGCTGTCCGTGGCCCCGTACATCTCAGCCAGCTTCTTGAAGCGCGGCCCCCAGTCCGTCAGGTAGTCGTAGCTCTGGTCTGAGTCTGTCGTCACGGACTGTAAGGAGCTGAGCGACTCCGCCACCGAGCCGTTCCCTTCAAACATGTAGGTCTGCAGGGAGTCGAAGGGAGGTGCCCACAGGTCCATGTCAGCTTCGTACAGCTTGGCGAGCACGTAGTTGTGGACGTTGTTGTCCATGATGCACGCCTGAGGCACGTATCGGGAGAGGCTCTCTATCTCAGGGAGCATGTCCTGCCGGTTCTTCACCACCAGCTGGGCCTCCCGCGGGTTCCACATGGCGGCGATGTCGAAGGCCTCCGTGTCCTCCTCCCCGCCGCCCTCGTCATCATACCTGACGATGTTCTCATGGATGTTCTCCTCCTCGTCAATGATGTATGGCTGCTTCCGCTGGCGCCGCATGGAGAGGATGAGGAGCACCAGCACTGCGGGAGCCAAGCAAGACATGGGGCTGTCAGCAAGGACACAGATCTTGCCGTGGCTTCAGACTTTCCTTGGCCCTACTTTCCCCTGGGTGAGCCCAACTAGCCCCTTGGATTTAAAGAGCTGCAGTGTTTGCAAGCTGAGAGTGTAGAAATCTCTCACTCCCCAGTCAAAACTGGTAGCTTGAGGTCCTGCTATCTGTCCCCTTTCTCACCTGAATTTTTAACTCCTGGTGACACTTAAATTATGGATATCTAGTGGTGCTTGCCTCTTTTAAGCTAGCTGGCTCAGAGGTCAGTTTATCTGCAGCAGCAGTGCCATAGAGATATTTTGCTTTCTGCTCTGTGGGTGGGTTTTGCAGCCTGCTTTGGGGATGCCTCTTGAGCTGGCCACTGCATGTGACAGAGATGGATGGTCCTAAGGCACCACCGTGATATGTCTGCCTACACAGCAAAACGCAGAGCTAGCCCTTAGTCTGCTGTAAGGAATTTTTTGTTTATCTGCAAGCCTCCTGCAGTGCTGCAGTGCTGGTGCTCCTCACCCCCGCTGTGCTTATTAGCATGGGGAAAAGTGGTTGTACAGGCACCAGAGCCCTTTTCTTTTGAAAATGTGCTTGGTGACTTGGTGACTATTTCCAGAGTTAGAACTCAGAAAAGATTTTGGATACTGAAATTTGGAGCAAATGAATCTAGGCTCCTTTGAACAGCCAGAACTGAGGCCCTTTAAAACAATTTTTCCTGTATCTTACTACACTGTTCCTCAAACTGGGTCCTTTGAAACTTCAGAGAATGCGTGTTTTGAGCTAGTATATCATGATTTGAGAGAGTGAACAAGGGAACTGAAGTTCTTTTGGTACCAACAGCTAACAGGGGACATAGGATGTCTGGGCAAGGAAAGCATGAAATTTAATTGTGGAGACAGAACTCATGCAAGACCCTCAGCCCCTTTACTGCAGCACAGGCACCATTTAAATGTAGAGTCACAAGGAAAAAGGATGGAGGTGGGGATATCTCTCTCCTAGATAAGAAATGGAACTGGATTTACCACTACTGTTTCCTGTGGATCAGGATGAGAAACTAACCCGCCCCAAGCCACAGCTCTCAATACTTTCCATTGCCATACCCTTGCAGGAAAGCATGGCCATATCAGACATCCTAGCACTTTGGGCATCTGGTAGAAATATTTGCAGGCAATACCTTTTCCCCCATTCCTACAGTCCAGATCCTGAAACCATATGCAGCTGACTACACCATGGGGTCCTTGATTTGGCGCTTTAGGCATGCATGCATCTACATATATAGGTATACACAGATATGTGTGTGTGTGTTTGGGTTCTACACCTTTGGTGCATCAGCACCATGGCCAGCACTGAGAAGTCTGTCCCTCCCAGGAAGAAGTGCAGGCTTTACCCAGCAGGACGAAGATGCAGGCGAGGATGGCGATGAGGGCCCCTCGGCTGAGGCTGACGGGCAGGACGTAGGCCTCGGCGTTGCAGGACATCACCACGCCCTCCTGGTCGCAGCTGCACACGTGCACGGTCAGCGTGCCCGTGCTGCTCAGCACCGGGCGCCCGTTGTCGCTGATCAGGATGGGCAGGTAGAAGGTGCTCTGCTCATTTTGTCTGAAGCCAGAGCGCCGTGTCAAAATCCATGCTGTATTGTCTAGGGGCAGGAAATAAACAGAGAGGACAGCTTATATGCAGAGCAAATACATTCAGCAGAGAAATAATGTTTAAAAAAAAACAGCCTTGGAGCCACATCAATTTTTTCTCCTCTCTTCTTTTTTTTTTTTTTTTTTTAAATCAGTTAATCACTAATAATTTTGCCTCTCCTTCCCCTCTTCCAGTATCTTCTCAGGCCATAGATCCAAACCTGAGAGGCATACACAACTTAGGAGCTGCCTTTACCCCTTGTGATACAAGATGCCCAGAGAAAACTCACAGTATTTAGATTTCAGAGGGCAAGACAGAAATGAGCAATTGAAGGCTCCTGTTTGCTTATGCTCAGCAGCTTTTCTAGATCTCAGACACTGCGACCATTTTGGACATGCTGGCATATAACCTTTGTCAACATGTGATGGTACTCTGTGGTTTTTGATACATGGCATGACCATCTGCTTGAGGCAACAAGCTATCTTAAAGCAGCAGCGAGTTGAAAATTCACAACTGAACATTTTTTCTGTGAAGTACATGCAATTTCTTTAGTACTTCTGCCATAGAAAAAAGCCAGAATGCTTTGTGTCATCGTCAGAATTATTCTGCTTTGATTTGACCATTCTGCTTCATTTAGTGTGACTGCCTATTTTTATAAGAACTTAAATCAAAAGGAATCAAAATGATGCTGCTGACAAAAATAGTAAAAGAGTGACCAAATAGCCAGTTGCCCTTGGCCATTTCAAGGGAAATTCCTACCTTTGGGGCTTTTTCCTTCATATTCAACATGCTTTTTAAAATGTCAACATTTACCAGTGGCATTTGAATTCTTTTCTATCTCCTCCCTCAAATTTCTCAGTATGTGCACCAAGTTTCCTAATCTAGAAAAGTGGAAAAAAAGTGAAAAATGGATTCGGGAGCTTGTTCTCAATTCTCATCTCAGGATGCCAAAGCAGAACTCTTTAGAGATGAGTGTTGATTTTTTCAGTGCTTTTGGAAAGTGCAGGACTGAATGTCTCCAGTGTGAACTGAGTCACCAAAGAGACTAAAGAAACTTGCATGAAAATTGTCCTTTCTTACAAACATGTCTGCAAGGCTAGGACCAAGAAAGATTACTGGGGAACAGTACAGGTACTTTTTCTCTTTGGCAGACCTACAAGCTCTGATTCTCTGCACTGATGCTGTGGCAGTTTTTGGGAAATTATCTTAATGCAGTTTCTTTTATTAGTTAGTTTTATTTCCTGTTCCCTTGGTTCAAAAGAGGTCACACAGTCTGGCCATCTGCATCTCCAGGTTGTTACTTATGTACATTTGCTATGCTTGAAAATGCAGGATGCTGATCAGCTGTCCCAGGTAGATTGGCACAATGGGATTGCTGCCTGGAAAAGGCAACAAACCTTCTGATCACAGGTAGACTCTGAAAAAAACCTAAAATATTAACATAGAAGTGTTCAATTTCCTTATTATTCCTCTGTCCATTCACTGCTCAGATTTAAATCTTGGCTGATTTTTTTTCAGTGTAGATACTAAGGTTACATGCAGATAAATTCAGCTATATGATCTACTGTGGTCTAGACACCAAAAATGATTTAATGGCTTTTTGAAGGGAAATCAGGATCTTCAACTCCATGTACAGCCAACTACGGAATATAGGCAAACTCAAGCTAGATTAGCCAGACTTGTCTCCTAGACTAAAACTATGGCCCAAATTACAAACTCTGTGCCTCTAGTCTTATGGCATCAGAGAGTACAGGCACACCTAAGTATTGAGATGTCAGGTTCCACACCTAAGTATTGAGATGTCAGATTGTGGGATCAATTTAAATTTGTGGTATGTTTTTAAAAAGAATCTCAGGGTCTTTTTTCTTGCATGTCAATGACATTTCAAGCTTTTACTCTAAAACCATAAAATTTTGAAGTGTGCTGCGTGTCTGCATGCAAATATATAGTGATTTGTAGTGTCTTGTTAAATCATGTGGTCCCAAGAACTTTGAGGAAAAAACACCATGTGCAAGATAAAATCCAAAAGTTGCTTAAAACTGATTATGTGTCAGTGTTTACCGATTTCACCTTTGATATGCAGTGCAGCTCTGAGTGTGTGCAGTGGGTATGGACAGACATAGGTAGGTATCTTCCTCACAACAAACAATAGGACAAGAGAAAATAGCCTCAAGTTGTGCTAAGGGAGGCTTGGATATTAGGAATAATTTCTTCACTGAATAGATGGTCAGGCATTGGAGAAGGCTGTCCAGGGAAGTGTTTGAGTCACCATCTCTGGAGACATTCAAAAGATGTGTAGATGGGGCAATTAGGGCTATGGTTTAGTGGGGGACTCAGAAGCATTAGATTAACAGTTGGACTCAATGATTTTGAAGGCCTTTTCCAACCTAAATGGCTCCATGATTCAGGAATGTGTCCCAAAGCTCATCAGAGAGCAGTACCCCGTGCCTCCCATGGCTTCTGGGCAAAGGGAATGCCATGGACAGGAGCCCTTGCCTGCCCAAGCCTTTCCCTTCTCTCTACTGGGGCACATACAAGTGCTTTCTCTCCCTTGGACTGTTTATGTGCCCTCTATATGTGCTCCACAGCTATTAATATCACACCTTTTCATCACTGGGCCAGTTTTGGCATGAGGAAAAGCAGCCCAAAGGCAGAAAGTGGCAAAGGGCTTTTATGCTCTTTCAATGAAAATACTTGAGTCACCCTAACTGGAGTAATTTGGTTGTATTTCTCTTTCCTGGGAGAAAGATTCACTTTCTTTAAACTGACTTACACTAGAAGTCACAGCTTCTATTCAGGTGACAGCAAACCTTCATTTCATGTAAAATTGCTCTTTGTGAGGGAAAAAAAGATTAATTATTCTGAGCTGGTCGTACTTTGCCTGCAAAAGAAGTCACAAGCTGTTGACAGGAGCTGTGTAAAATCAGGTAGTGAGAGATCTCAAGGGTTTTTAACCACTCTTTTCAGGCCAAAACCAAGTTTCTATAATCTAATATTGAAAGATATATATGTATAAATACCTCTGCTGTGATGCCCTGACCATATCATCCAGGTCTTAAATGTTCTTGGTAATTAAATTGTCTTTGTAACTCCCAGGATTACATTCTGGGCCTTTTGCTTCATTTTGCTTTGTACTAGGCAGGCATCCAAATCATCCTAAAGAATTGTTCTACCTGTTACTCTGCAAGTGAAATGCACTGGTGCCAAAGCTTGCTGTGTGACTCATCAAAAGCCAATGTGATTTGACGTGCTAGAGCAGTGCGAAGGACGAGCTGGAATGTGATGCAGCATGGCAGAAACTGGAATACACAATTTTATTCCAAATTTGATATCTGCTAAGCCCCAACCATCAAGAGAAGAGGGCTTGTGAGGACACGAAAGCCCTATTATATTAAAAAAGAACAAGCAGGCCTGATAAGAATGCACAATATTTTTCCTCTCAGCATCCAGCCCAGCAACTTTGGCTCGTGGAGGCTGGCTGGCAGCACTTGGCTCCAGCACTGAGCAGAGATGCTGAAGGTTGCGGCATGGCTGGTTCCACATCTGTGTGAAAACTGAACTTTCCACAGGCCTGCAGACTGGTGTCTTCATGTGGTTGTGAGAACAAGCCAGGGAGCACCATATTCCTGCAGCTTTCTGCCTCTCTGGAAATGATGTACCTCTCTGGAGAGGTCAGGGGAGCTAACCACTGTGTAGGTCCCAACCTTGAGATCAGAGCTAACCACTGCTCTTCTTACAAGAAAGGCTTGGTTTCTTTCTGCACACACCTGGAGAAGAACTGGGGATGATTAGCCTGACAATTCTGTTAGACTTTAAAACCTGATTGTAGTAATTATGAAGAGCTAGGAATAATATAAATAAATATTCCACCAGGAGTGGGAGAAAGAACAGAAGGAAGCAGGCAATCTAGACCCCACTGAGTTGGGGAAAGAGTCAAACCTTTCCTTGAGGATTTTCAGCTCACTGCTTACATGTGTGAAGTAAACCACAGATTTAGGGAAGGCAGAAATAGCTAAAAATTTTTCCCAGGAGAAATTTAATTGTAATGCAAAAGACTGCCAGGATACTATGCCTGGGTGGGCATGACAGATCCTGATTGTGCACCTATTATAAGAGGCTTCTGTCTTCAACAGTTCCTGGCTCCTAAAGATGGAGGGCAGTGATTAAGGTTCAACAGAAGATAAGCTCAGAGCTTAATCTAGAAATGCAGTAAACTTATTTTGTAGCTCATTCTTACAGCAAACCTCTCTTTCTAACTTATTCCCAGCATAGTCTCACCTGGAAGAGGGTGGAAGGAGGATGTCTTGCCACTGCCCTACAGCAGACACCAAAGAGATGGGAGACTCCAGCTCAATTTCCTGCTTCATCACATTTATCCTATAAGGCCTTGAGAAGCCATTTGTGCCCAGATTGTTGCAGCTATTTAACATGTCTATTTCTCATTGATTTTACTGAACTCAAAGAGAATCCAGCATGTAAGTAGCTTAATTTCTCCTTGCCCCAGATCCCCATCTATAAAGGAGAACAATAGGACTTCTCTGTCTGCTGAAGATATGCAAAGGATGAATAGTCTGAAGAAGTTCTCAGAGACCAAAATTACAAGGGCCAAAAAAAGAATGTAAAACAGCTCATCAGAATGCAAACTGTGATCTATCTGTTGCTCAGTATAAATCAAGGTTTTAATTGTTGCCAAGGAGGCTCCATGTCTTGCAGTTTCTCTTACTGCTATATTGGACAACCAAGTAATCAGCACAATTGCTAATCCTAACAGCGCCTTCCCGCAGCCTGGGAAGCATTCCTGTCTCGTGTTTATGGGCACAGGCTGGGACTAGCAAAGTGTGTTCTGTTTCTTGTCTAGCCAGCCTGTGACAAACAGTGTAGCTACCCCCTCTGTGCCCAAGTTACGTGATTTATATAGCTCTTAGTGGCCCCTAGATGAAATATAAGCATAAATTACTTTTACTGAAATGACTACTGCTCTCCAAATTGCTGAGGCAGTAAATAAACCCTTAATCATAGAGTCACAGAATATGCTGTGTTATAGGGGACACTTCAGGATGAGTCCAACTCCTGGCCCTGCACAGGATACACCAAGAGTCACACTGGGTGCCTGAGAACTTTGCCCAAGGGCTTCTTGAACTGAAACAGGTTTGGTGCTGTGACCACTTCCCTGGGGAGCCTTTCCAGTGCTCATACAGCCTCTGGGTGAAAAACCTCTTCCTCATATCCAACCTAAACCTTCCCTGACTTAGTTTCGTGCTCTTTTGTCGAGTCCTGTCACTGGTCACCAGAAAGAAGAGATCAGTACCTGCCGCGCTGCTTCCCTTCACAAGGAAATGATAGACTGCAATGAGGTCTCCCCTCAGCCTCCTCCAGGATGATCAGACCAGGTGACCCCAAATGCACCCTATACAGCTTCCCGTAAAATCCTTCACCATCCTCATGGCCCTTCTTTTGGATGCTCTCTAATAGCTTAATATTCTTCTTATACTATATTTTACTATGTGGATCATTCAAATAGTCAGTGGTTTGATACTTATAATTTTTATTTCAAATTTGTAACTAATAGTACCTTAAGCTTCTTGTTATATACACATATACACATATATACATACATACATACATACATACATACATATATATATATATATATATATATATATATATGTATGTATGTATATGGAAAACTGGTGTTTTATAGAGAGTGGGAAGCCCAGCCATTTGGTCGCTGCTGTCACTATAAATTATTGCAAACATGGCCTGAGACAGAAAAAGTGCATCTGATGCTGGGAGTTTTGCGAGTTTCTTTTTTTAGAACAATGCCTTGAGGTTGAAATGAGCTTTCTTTGCCAAATGCTTTAGCGATAGTTGTGTTATATTTGTTCATTTATTTTGGCAATAAATACTCACAGATAAAAAAGACAAGGAGAGATAGAAGGGGATAAAAATGCAAGAAATTGTGTGGGGAGCTTTCAGGGACACTACAGAGAAAAATACTTTTGGGATGAAAGAGCATGCTGTGGAGGAGGGCTCCAGACACTGCAAGTACCATGTTTTAAGACATGTTTGGTAAGTGAATGCATGGGATTCTTTATAAGCCTTTATGTTGCTCTTTGATATGCCTGGAGTGGCCCAGATAGCGGCTTATGGAAGTAAGTGTGGCAAGCAGTGTGTGGGAGCAAGGCTGGGCTTGGAGGCTGGCCATAGATGCTGCAGGTGGCCAGTCTTTCTCTCCATTTATCCTGGATTTGCTTGCTGATCCGTGGTACTTTACACACTAAACTCATACAACCCAGCCCCTCAGTACTGACTTTCCAAGCTCTGTATAAGGTCACTCAAGGTCATCCCTCTTTCCTAAGGAAGGCTGGTGTGGGTGCGATTTTAGCCATGGAAATCATCTATCAACAGCAGTCATGCAAAGGCCTGCTACGGCAGGACTTTCCTGCAGGGTGCAAAACCACCAAAGCTTTCCCAAAATAATCAAATTCCACTGGTTAAAATGCTCAAATGCCAGTGATTTACCATGAGTCTTCCCACTGGTGTTTCAGTTTCTACTTAGGTCATCTTACACAGACCTTTAGCTGTACACCAAGTTACTTCCCCAAGGGTCTGCGAGTCCTCCCTACTTCCCTCTTTCTCTAGGGAAATGAGGATGTGCAAGGAGAAAGAAAAAAGAGCTTGGGGGAAAAGACTGAAACAGTACAAAAACCTTCCTTTTTTCTGTGCCTGGGAGAAAACATGAAGAGCACAAAAAAAAAAAAAAGAGCAATGTAATTCCCTTCAGATTTGTCTTCTAGTTCCAGTTACTATCCTACCTTTAAGCATCTCCTTTTGAGCAAATGCAATTTCCACTTCGATAATCCGAGATGCCTGCAGCCTGACCAAAAGACCTGAATTTGCACAAAACACTGGCACATTTCCTCGAAAAAGGAAAAGGAGCCTATTGCTAGAGAATATTTATAGAGAAGAAAATATCCTATAACCTTCAAGTGTATTAAATAATATGTCATTTTATTATTGCCTTTAAGGAGCAGGTGTCACTTGGTATTATTTGAAATGGCAATCTTATCACCCACTGTAAGTCACAGCTTCTCAAGTCCAATTCAGGCATTAGAAATTAGAGTAGCTAACTGTCTGTGTCCACTCTGGTTACCTTGATTGTCCCTTAGAGTAAAGTTGGGGTTGTTGGCTGCCTCTGGTGCCAGGCTGTAGTAGAAGTGCTGACCCTCCTGTGGGTCATCCCTGTCAATGGCACTCACTGTCTGGATCAGCTACAAAACACAAGAGAAAAGTAGAAATGGGTGAGAAGCAAAATATTTATAATATAAATAACAATCAAACTGATAACAGGTATTTTATATCTATAAATATAAGCAACTGGAGCATTTCAATAAAATTGCTCTCCAGAGGTACAATCTTCTGTCAAGAAGAGACTCAAAAGCTTGCAGGGGGTCATCTGTTTTTCTGTGGTCATGCACATCACTTTTAAACAAAGGAAGAGCTATTCCGTTTACCTCAAATAACAGATGCTTTCCTGTCATGCATCCCTATCTTCTGTTGCACATTTCTTTTTGTCTTTTGGAGGCCCAGGTTTTTCAGAAGATTTATTGTGCATTAGAGAGCTTGTAAGAAAGCTCATATTTACTTTCAGCTTCATTATGCAGGTAGAAAAGGACTTCAGGTTGATTATTTTGCCACTCTTTTAGTTTTAAATCAATAAAATTCTTCCCAAGATGTCAGCAGAAATGAGAGAAAAGCCAACCATGCAGAATGCATATGTAATAAATAACACCAAACTAAAGAAACAAAGACAATGCTAAATCCAGAAAGAGATTTGTTACTTCACTTATAGAGGCTTTGTAAAGTAGGTCTAACAGCTTGAAGCACAATGAGCACTGTCTGAATAAACATTCTGGCATCTTTTTGGACAAGGAATAAATCTTCACCTGGATTTTTTTAACTTGAAAGTTATTTTGGGATTCAAAGGCAAATGTCAGACCCATAAAGGCTCTTTCACCATGTTAAAACTGATTTCAGAACTTTTTAAAATGTGGTAATAGAATTTAGTGTTCCCTGCTGAAGGAAGTAGTCCAGGTTAGCATTCATAATAATATTGAACTTAAACAGCTTATTACCTAGAACACTCCCTTCAAAACCAGGAGAAACGGTCTAGGCAGTGGCTTCTATTGCCTATATTACTAAAAAGCTCTGTAAACTGGTGAGATGAAAATATTCTACACATGATAGTTGTAAGGACAGTTACCCCAGCAGTGAGCAGCTATTTCATTCTGTTTCACGCAGCTGGGAGAAGCTTCTGCAAACACACAGTGATACTAGCATAATTTTTCCTTCACAGATCACGAGAGGTGTGTCTGTGTGTTTAAGTGCTATTTAAGCTAGTCAGCTGTGCGTGAGGAGGCACCAGTCCCCACAGTGGACGCTGGTGGTGGAGCAAGAGGAGGCTGCCCACAAACAATCAGCAGCAGAGCTTGCAGCAGGTCCAGCCAGGGAGAGCTCACATCTGTCTCTGGCACTGGTGACCTTGTTCAAAGGCTTTGATGGGGTTTTGGAAGGGAGAGGAGAAGAATCTTCACCGCTTGCTTGCAGCTGCTCCTTTAGAGTGCGTGCAACGGGAAGTCTTGTGTTGCTTTTGACTCCCTGTGATCTCCAGTTCACAGCAGAACATATTCTGCTTGGCACCCCTTTGAACCTGACGTAGTGAGTTATGTCCAGCTCCCATAAGTCCAGGTGTGCTTAAGGCTCTTTAAACATTTAGTAGTAAGACTTGACTGTCTGTCACACGTGGCCTGAGCTGGTTCTGTGGCACTTCTCATAACACTTCTCCTCTCTTTGATGCTGCTACAGGACACACTGGCTGTTTGCCTGCTGGCACATGCCTAAGGGAAGGCTTTATTTCAGCTATGAAATGTATTGTGCAGTGAGCCTAGAATCTACTTTGGGAGAATAAAAGAAATGTGGGAGAAACAGAAGAGATACTCTATGTGATGCTCCTTCTAGTGGGATATGCTTGCCTTTGGAATGAAGCACAGACAGCTGCTGATAAGAGTTCAGATGAAATGTGTGAGTAGCTGAGCCCTCTTCCCAACACTCACCCTTCCTGGCATGCTGCCTCCATGTAGGACAGCATACCCTTCCCAACCCCTGGGGGTACGAGCATTTCTCACCTGGCCTGCTTTGGCATTTTCACAAACAAAAGCTTCATAAAATCTCGCAAACTCTGGCGCATTATCATTCACATCCAGGACTTTCACTGTCACAGAGACGCTGCCCACCTGTGAGGGGTTATCTGGAACAAGAAGGTTTAATGTAAGGAAAGGCAGAATGTGGGAAGGGGAAGAGGCTGCTCCTCACTTGGCTCAAGAGGTAAATCAGTTTTTCCACTACTAGCTTGTGTTAAATCACATTTTCCCATTGGGAACTGTGGTGACTTGGGTATTGTGTGACTCAGAGTGAAGCTGCAAATGCTGCTCTCGGTCTAGCCTGACTTCCCATTTAATCACATATTTTACAAACAAAGCAATTCTGTAAAAGTCTTCAACCTGGTTCAGTCCAGTGAATTATTTCTACAGCAAATGTTTTAGACAATGCCCCATTTTTTTTTAAATTGTCCTTCAACTGGGCAATACTCTTTGTTGAGCCTCCCTACAGATAGCATGAATTTGGAAGGTACTTTTTAAAGGACAGACGTGTTATTTAGAACTTGTTAAAAATGGCAGTTTCTATCTCCAGTTCAGAGATGGTTTTGCTCAAAATTTATGTTCCTTGAACTCAAAAATAGTGTCAAGTCTTTGATACTTTGTACAGAGAGGTTTAAAATGTAATAACACATGAAATTGAACAGAAAAGCTTTCAGTGAAGCTTAAAATTGCAATGAAAATTTTACATTCTGCATGACATCATTTGTGATGTTTCTGTCCCACTGGTGCATTAACTTTCTTTGTCAGTAAATCTGTACATCTTTTCGCATATCTTCACAAATTCCAAACTAAGTGGCTACAGAATAATTTGTTTTTCTTACTGTTCTTGTCTGCCTCAAATTGTCTTTCCCCCCCTCATTTAATGATAAAATAAAACTAATCAGAAGGAAAAAAATGTTAAGGGATCAGAAGAAGTGCAAAAATCAAGAAATTTTTTAAAATATTAGTATTTCATCTTCTTTTCAGCGGTAGCATTTTGTACATTTACCTCCAAATATATCTCCCTTTATAGCAAGAAATGATATATTCATATAAACAATAGAGAGTTTGCATAAACTCTGGAATTTTTATTAAATGTTCAGTGTAGTGCAATTCACAACATGTGTTGCATTGTGTCATTCAGATAACCCTCAAACTATGTTGTTTCTCCCTAATTTGTAATGTAATCCTTCAGCTTCCCACATAAGCATACATACATCTTGCTAACACACCTGTTGTTGTGGCAGGTGAGTTCACACTCTTAGAAATAATTGATCTAACCTTTAGGGCTATTCAGGAGTGCAGAGCTATGAAATTTTTGAAACTACTCACTAAATTTAAATGCACATGTACAGAGCAAAACTGACAGAGGATTGATGGAAAGGGAATAAAGGAAGACGTGCCTTCCTATTGCTCTCACCCTCAATGCTGCTACAGGGGCAGCTTTTACAGACTCATGGTATTGCAATGGCCATTGGTGGCTGAAAATAAAAGTAGTGTCAAAACAGATGGGGGTGAAATTCCATTGTCTCAACCACTTTCACTACTTAAAAGGGCACAGAAAGGCATCATGTGCTGGAACAGCCTGCAAATATGTGGCAGAGTAACTCCAACTCTTGTGAAATATTTCCCCTGCTTTCAAGCTGGCTGATTGCAATTTGGGCAAACCTGTTGAAACTTTGTTCCTCTCAAAGTGCTCCGTATCTCTGGCACAGGCTAGATGTGCAGGAAGCTTTCTGAGACACAAGGAATGACTCAGCTATTGGCACCAAGCTGCAGAAAAGCTGCTGCCCCTCACAGATGAACTGAGATCCTGAGCAAAAGCTATGTGAACCGAAGAAATTTCAGGTGAAGACTAGGTGAACCTTTTATTTGCTTATATGTCTGAAGCTCCTTTATGAAGCTCACATCTGTGAGCATTTCAAACTCAGCTAAATTTTTCATACTGACACAATGAAGTGAGCATCTCCTTCTTCTCACAGCCTTGAAAAATACCCAGCACAGATGAATCCTGAGCTGAGTTTTAGCTCATTGTAAAAGCCAAAAGCATAATGAGTTCAGCATACTCGAAGATCCCAAAGCACTCTGGCCCAAATTATTTATGTAGCAAGCAGATGGCGATGTCATTTACTTGGTGCTGAACCAGAGCAGATTTCAACTAGTGACCTAGCAGTGTAGGATCACTGCCGCCTACCCATCCCTGCACCACTCAATCCTCCCAGGCAGGACTGGGAGCTCTAGCAGCTGTGCAGCCTTTGCAGTATTTTCTTTAGCCTGGCTTTCTGAAGTGAGAGGGCTCTGCGAGAAACACATCAGGAGGAGTTTTAAATAAATCCCTGGAATGCTAATGAATTGAAAAAGAAGGACTCTGCATTTAATTGCCATCCTCTATGCCTCCCACCACCCTGTGAAAATGAGCATAAAAAAATAAATAAAATGCAGTATTTGCTGGTTGATGTCAGAGGAGCAATTCACTTAATGCGCCTTCCCACTCGGTGCATAACAATATGTGAACTTTGAATTCAGGCCCCTCAGCCTGCTTTGTCTGCTGTATCTCTTTAGTCTGTGTTCAGTCTGCATTCTCCTTACTCAGCTCCATGGCCAGCACTGTGATGTTGTGCCAAGAAATGTCCTCCCGGTCAAGAGGTCTTGCGGTCATCAGTGCTCCCGATGTTATGTCGACATAAAAGAACCGTCCCGGATCACTGCTCCTGTCAATCGAGTATCTGCAAGAGCACATACGAAAAACATTATGCAACCCTTGTGAAAACTGTGTGTTACAGCCACCAAAGTAACCCAGCAATGGGGACAGTGTTGTACAAAGCAGATCCACATTCTTCCACAACCTAGTTATGTGCTCCTTTGACTTGCATAGGTCCAGAGTGAGATGCTGGAAAAAGTTCATGTGGCTAATGCCATTTAGCAGTTAGTACTTGAATGGAGCTGGAAGACAGGAAGATTTAGAGGAAGAAGCCTCAAAGTAAGGCACAGAACAGTGCAAGAACATCTGCTTTACAGAGAAAATCTGCCAGTGAGGAGTACAATTTTTTTTCTGAGAGAACTAATTATGCCCTGTCTCTAGGCAAATTCAGACAGGATGAAAATGGCTTCAGATCAGCTCATTCTCTGAGCCCCTAGGTTGATGAGGAGGAACCATTCCCTTCCTTTTATTCTGTATTCTCTCCTTCTTGAGGGGAACAAACTCCACCTGCATCCTGAAGCATGTCACTGATGGAGCTGTGTCAGCACAAGGGGGATGTGTGCCTTTCTCACAGCATCCAGTCAGAGAAAACAGCTCCCTCTGTGAGGCTGATTCATTGTAGTTACTGAACCTTCCTGGCCAATGTCAGTTCAGTGCTGGGAACCAGCTTCCTGCACCTGTGAGTGGGGGAATGTGGTGGTGCCTGCAGGCCAGAAAACCTGGGCAGGGAGGCAGCTGATGGAGAGAGGTCACTGCAGTACTCGGTCAGAGGGACGATTTCTCAGGGTGGGTAAAATACTCAGTATCCTTCACAGGCATTGCCTTGCTCTTACAGGCACTTTGTGCAAGCTGCCTTCCCAGCTGACTGTTAGCATGGCAAGGGATACTTTGGCCAAAGCCACACACAGGCCTAGGTAAATGTCACAGCCTAGAACAGAGACCAGACTTTCTGTCCTTTTTGTTGGTACTTTCATCAGAGTGGACGGGAATTGAAAGCATTAGTCACAACAGACACTGAACAGGGCTCATTCTTCTGAATTTTCTCCTTTCAGCATGAATGCATTCACTGGAACAAGCATGACAGCCTTTTCTTTATATAGGGACTTATTAAACCAGGATATAAAACACTATTGAGATATTTTGTTGGGAAATTCCTTTACACTCTTTTTCAGAACAATCAAAGAGGAAGGGATGGCAGGTTTGTATCCCTTTCCTTCCCAGTCCTTCCTAACTCTTCATCAATAAAAAGATTCCTCAGGCATTTGATTTATTTAGACAATGAGTGTTCGTATATTTTGATATAATAATTATTCTTGTATGAGTGCTATAAAAATAATTTCTCTGACATTTTAAGGCCAATGAATATCTGAAATTGACTATAGCCTTGTGATTAGTGGTTCAAAAATAAGCACCGGTGTCAAGAGGCACAGGTGGATCTTTTTCTAGATTCTCCAGCTAAGTTCTCTTGTTAAGTGTACCTGCTCCTGCACACTTGTTTTCACTGTACTATTTAGATAATCTTCCTGAATAATTTAAAAACAATCATGGCATATTTCCAACCATCAGAATTTCACAGTGTGGGAGCCAGGTACTGGATGCTGGGAAAGTAAGGACTTGAGCCAGGTCACAGTTTAAATTTCAGATGGATTTCTGCTGGTGCAACATAGTAAATCTTTGGGATTATTATCTTTCTTAGCTTGCCTAGCCCTGTGCAAAGTGAATTCAGCTTAAAACGTTGCCAGGCTGATACTGCATGGAGTTGGAATGAATGGAGGAGACCATAGAAAAGGCAAGAACTAATTCTTACTATCTGCATTATAGACAGCACTACAAATGGTATTTATTATTAATTTTTAAATCTGTTCCTTTACCTCAACATGGGGGAAAAGGAGGGAAGGAATGAGGGAAGAAAGGGCAGTGGAAAAGGAGGAAGGGGGGGAGAAAAGAGGATGGCAGTTGTCAAAGAACAGAGTTACAAAAGAGTCTGTGCATATTTACAACTTTTTTTTTAAAATGTATCTTTGTTGATGGATTCTGTGGTTTATAGAGTGTTGTTCATCAAGGGCAGAGCTTCAGTCACTGCAAAGCTCTGAAACAACTAAGAAAAAACTCATTAAAAATTACAATGATCAATTCTACCCTCGGATAGTCCTCAGAATTGTTTTTATACTATTTTAAGCAGATTAGCAGAGAGCTGTTTGCATTGCAGGGTTTAGATGATGCCAGACAGTATTCAATCAGCAAAATAGGATGCAAATGGAAAAAAGTTTAGAGTAATGAAATTGTGATGCAGACAGTATAATAGTTTTACTGAGGAATTTGAGGCAATGTCATGAGAAGTATGATAACCTTATAATGTAGGCAGAAAAGATAGGTATATTAAAGTAGCAGAGATGAAAAAAAATAATTAGACCAGCAACACAGAGTGCCATACCATTAAGAAGAACAGGCTTTGTGTCTGCTCAGATCTTCTAGCTGAAGCCCACAGGATTGCTCATTTAGATTTTACTTTTTTTCAAAAAATCCTAGTACTCAATGTTTCAACTCCCTCCTGTATTTCCCAGGACTGTTCCTGGACACAAGCATGTCAGAAGATGGGCCAATGCATGGGTAGTCAAACAGCAGCTCAACACCTGAAACTCTCAGATGAGAGGAGCAGCCAACCTCCTGGGATAATCAAAGTGCCTGCACTAGTAGGTAGTGAAAATTTCTGTGTGGGCTGGCCTTGGACAAGAACACTCTCTGATAAATGAGGCTGGCAGTGGCCAGCAGCCACTATGGAAGAGAGTGCTGTCATCACACAAATCTGCTCCTTTGGCTCCTTGCTGAGTTGCACCTATGAAGCTCCCATGGTTGTAAATGCACCTTTATCTTTCTTACTGCCTTATGGGAATATCTAACTCTGCATCTTTGACCAGACACTAGATAATTTAACAGTTCTTGTATATTTATTAGCATGCATTCACTCTACTCCAAAAGTAGTTGTGTGTTTTAGCTTATTGACAAGGGCAACCTTTGAAAGGGAAGGGGGAAAAAGGACAAGCAAGTTATCCCCTTGCCATCAGGATGGCAGTGGGTTCTCAGCGACACTGTCAGGTTTTGTGCCAGCACAGGGAAGATTCTGAGGTTTGTTTCTAATGTCAGGACATGCCTGACCAGCTCATTGCAAGGCTTGATGCTGATGTCTTCCACACCACAGAACAGGGGGAGCTCCTGCATCTCTTTGACAGAGCCCTCAGTGTGTGAGGTCTGGTTTGTCAAACCCACTGATGGCCATTACTGGCTGGAAAGAGAGTGTCCCTCTCACTCACCACTGCCCCACCAACCAGATGTGTTAAGGACTGCTCGTGGGGCAGCACACAAAGAGAGGACAGACCTGATGGAGTTGTTGGTCACGTCTGGGTCCTTGGCAGAAATGATCTGTATGGTGGTCCCAATCTCCACATCCTCGGGCACTTCCACAAAGTAGATGCTGGGCTCGAACACAGGAGGCTCATCCACGTCCTCCACACTGATGTGGACAGTGGTGGTGTCACGGAAGGGACCCAGGTTCAGGAACCGCATTTCCAGGTGAGGGTTGGCACCCTCTACCTTCAAGGTGTAGCTTTTCTTGCTCTCAAAACTTAAAGGCTGAGGAGAAAAAATTAAATCTACCATCAGGCACACCGAGGCATATCATTATTACTTTTAATTTCAAGTGCAACAAAGATAAATATTTGCAGATGTAGAAAAAGCTTTGAATGACAGTAGTATTAGAAATGGCACTGTATATGCTTTCTTTCTTAAATTTGATAGTTGAGCTGAAAAGGCCAGGAGAAATACTTGCAGATCACTTCAAAAGACATACTCTTTCATTCTTCTTGCTAAAATGAAAATATAAACAGCTACCCTGCCACTGCATTGTGATTCACTCAACCTGTTTCATGCCACTCTGAGGAAAATACATGAAGAAACAGACACTAATGGGAGTACCCGAAAATAAGGTAAGACAGTTGGTTCCTCAAAAATGGGCCCAGTGGCAGGAACAAGGATGCTCACACAGGAGGTAGAGGTCCCAGTTAGCATCCTCTTTTTTCCCCTGAGGACACCAGAGTCTTGTCTCCAAGACCCCTGGTTGCCAAGCTGGTAAGGGGCTCCAGTGGGAGCAGGGAACATGGTCAGCCTCTCTTGCAAGTTTTGTTCCAGTTTTTATCCATAATCCATCCTTCCTAGAAGTGAGGTTTTTTCACCTCCTCCTTTCAGTAATTATCCTAAACATGGGTTCACCATCCAGGTGTAATGAGTGCTAGGATTTGAATCTGCTCCCTGCCTAGAGAATAGATTAATTTCAAAGTGGTTTAATTATAAAATATCCCTGATATCTTCCTCTGGGGACTTTTGCACTTTATATGAAATGTGAAATATTAAAAACTCAAGTATTATTTGAGGCAGGGAGTGAGAATGGTCTCTTTTTCCCTTTTCCCTCTTCCCTTTTCTTTCCTTTCTGAGACAATGGATAAAGGGGGCCAGCTTACTCTGTTAGAGCTACCTGAATTTGATTTCCTATCTAGATAAAACTACTTATTTGGTATACATGGATATAGAAGTAACTAATGCTGACACTGAACCTCTCAATAAATAAAATTTTCATCTCCTTTCCATCTTCTTTTCACAGATCCCTGAAGAAAATAAGGTATCTCCAAAACCTTCTTAGATATGAATGAAAATTTCCATATTTAATGTGCCACTTACCAGTCTTGGTAAGAGATTACAGTAAGGATTTAACAAACCAGAATAACAGTATGGAAGGGTCAGTCCACAATATAAAAAAATGCCACCAGATGAAGTACAGCTCATAGAGGATACAGTCACACTTCTCAAATTGCATTCAGAAGTTGCAAGCAATTGCAGTGTGGTTAAATGGTCACAACCCTTTACGTGGATAATCTGGGCAGGTCTGATGCTGAAAACCAGCACAGTGAATTCCCTTAGCTTGCACAGATTCTGAGCAAGACAAATCTTGTACCAGGAAAGAAATGGCTAATCTCAGGGTCACCCAGTGGGGCATACCCCTCTTTGCTATATGAGTAGTTTTCAAAAAGGGTGGCTTTATATGGACATAAGGATTTGAGCCTCATGTGTGGAATTGCCACACACAGCAGCAGTTCATTTCGACTGCAGTAAGATATCTGCTGTTCCCATCCAATCCCTTTGCTTCTTCTATTCAGCTCTTTCTATTTGAAGACCAATCACCAGACTGACACATGGAGATGGGAAGCAAAATAAAAGAGAAGGAGGATGCCAAAGCCATTGGAAGTCAAAGGTACAAAGATCATGACTGTGGCAGTAAATTTATCCTTTGCCAGTCATAACCCATTTCTTTTCTGCCCTGCTCAATGGAGCAGCTGGCCCTGTTCTGCAGCCATGAGGTGTATATTAGTTTAATACACACCTCATGGCTGCAGAACAGGGCCAGCTGCAGAAGATTTCCATGCAGCAGGAAGAAGATTTCCATGCTCAGGCATGGGCCTCAAAACACCTCCTGGATCCAACCAAGCCTTCAGTACTTGTCTGCTGCCCCAACAGCTTCCTTCTTCAGAAGTGGACATGTTGCAGTGACATATGAAACTGCTTTCACAGTAAATTACCAGTCTGATGTCCTGCATAGGAATGCCTGACTAAAGACTGGCATTCTTGAAATTATAAAACTGAAGATCACTCAGCATTTAGTACATGAGAGTGAAGAATGAAGACTGGAATGGGAACAGGTTTCTGTGCTGGGGACATGATGGTCCAGTATTGCTGGAGATGCTGCTCAGTGAGTGAGGCAGTACAAACTGTGCAGTTTGTGGCAGCAGCTACAAACAGGTGATCTGAAACCTGCTCTAGCTGCCTTTAGCTCCACCTGGTACATCAGCTACTACTGCAGGCATAGCACTTGTCAGCTAGGGTTTGGTGAGGTCTACAAATGTAATATCCCTGGCTGCAGAGTCATTATTGTCTACCAGTTGCATATTTATGAGCTGTAAAAATAGCAGTAAGATATTCACAGGACCAAGCTACACTTATTGTCCATCTGGCTGGGAATGTGCAATGCAAAGGCGCCTAAACATATACTAAGAAAGAGGCCATTTTATTGAATTGTTTCCCATGTGAAGAAAACTGCATGAGAAACACTGCGTGTACACCAAAAAGCTAAGATATAAAAAAGCAGTTAAATCACAGACTTAACAGCTGTAAAACCCAATTACATTATTAAAACACATAATCACCTAGATCAAGTTAGAAAAATGAGAAAAATCAGACAAGTGTGCTAGACCACTGCATTTTTGATGTTCCTGTTCGCCTTCATTGTTGAAGATGACTTTACCTCCCATTTCTCTCCTGTGCTAATGCCTCAGCACCACTGTTCCCCTCATCAGACTTTTCTCCCATGGGTGCATTCAAACTTCTTCCCAATGCTGGTCCCATGGAGAGGGGAGGCAAGTTACCTTCTCCTGTGAACTTAGCATGCTGCAAAACACAGCCAAGAGGAGAGGCAGCCCATGGAAAGCTCTCCTTGTCCTTGTCCTTCTGGCACTGCTGACACAGGCACTGAGAAGGGGCACCATGCAGGGGGGAATTTAGCAAGACCCACTGTGAGAAAGTGATTGATCAGGCAATGTCAGGGAAGGAAGGCAGGACAGGACAGGGCTCTCCTGTGTGCTGTGCTGGCTGGGGTACCCAGCACCCTGCCTTCCATGGGCAGTGCAGAAGGGAAGGCAGGGAGAAGAGGAAAGTAGGGTGAGCATCAGTATCCCATGCAGGCAGCCTGGAAGGTACTGTAAATCTTCAGGAGGTGATCAACATTTTGTGGGATTAGTAGGCTGTGATAAGTAGCCACAACACCACAAGCAGCAGTCTTGTCAGTAACTGTAAGTTCTGGCTTTCTGATGCCTGTGTTAGAAGTCCTAATTATTTTGCTTGGGAAATCTGTCAAGAAAAATTAAAGGGGAAGTTTTGCTTGCTTTTAAAAAATATTTCATTCTTGGTTTAGAAATTTTCTCTCCCCTCTCCTCCCATTTTGATATCCTTTTGTATTGACATTAGTTGATTATTTTTAGGTTGTTTCTTGAGGGTACTCTAAGGACAACTTTCCCAGTGTTTGGCTATTGATAATCACAGCATTACATAAAGCTAGAGACATACATAAAATATTACGAATGTTTATGTACAGTAGGTGGATTGAGCAGTATGCACCTGATGCCAGTATATATCTGGTATGATTGATACCATACATTTTATAACTCCTCTGGACATACAAGAACATGTAGCAAAACTGTATTCATAATAACGAAGGTCAAGCTTATTGGCACATTTGCTCCAAAGAAACTATTTTCTTTCATTGATAAATGAGTGGAAAATTACACTGGAGTTTGCATTCAGCATCTATTTCATTCCAGAAGATATGCTTAACTTTAGGGACTAATATGCACAACAAAAGAGCTGGGGAAAGGTGACCATAAATACATGCTTAAATGCTTTGCTGTAGGGCATAGAGGCTTGCAAGGTCAAAGCTCTCCCCTGTATTGTTCCATTTTAGTGCACAATTTAATCCCAGGCCATTTAAATGGAAACTATACTTCCTTATTAGTACACTAGAGATGCTTAGGCAGAAATATGGTTACAATTTCATAACCTAGAAACAGAGTTGAACTTCTAACATTTATGTACGATTGTAGAATAAATATCCCATAGCGGGGAGCCTAAGCAAAATGCTCAATGCCTTCCTGCATAGCCTGTGGTACAGAGTACCAGCAGTTTCACAGCTGCCATTTTAGAGACAGCTTCCTCTAGACTAATTAGCATTTATGGATCTTCAAGCAGCAATTAAAAAAAAAATAAACACTGCCTGGGTTTTATTGGTTTATAAATAATTCCAAGGCATGCTTTATTATTGCTTGTGGAACACCACAGTGAAAAATATGTACAGTTCAAATGCAAATATTGATCTAATTTCTTGCATTGTAGGATAATTAAGCTACAGAGAATATTTAAATAGATAAATAAGGAGTCAGAGCATTCCTTTGGTGGGAAAAGACATGTTTATGTTAATGATGTTCCCACTTTATAAAAGTTGTTCTTAGGAATGCAGTCTGCTTTCATATTTTAGCAATAAATGTTAAAGAAATTGTGTTTTACAGCCAGAAAGGGGCTACTGTCACATAATGGGAACCAAGTTACTGCAGGCATAGGGAATATTCCACACATAAAATGTAACCCGGACAGTTAGCCATATAAATCACTATAAAAAGGAAACTTTTTTACCTTTCTTACAGTGATGATGCCAACTTGGTAATTAGGATCAGTGTTAATATCAAAGACATCCAGTCCATCTCCATCCACAAGGCTGTATTTCATCTCTGCATTAATGCCTTCGTCCAGGTCTTTAGCAACCACACGGCCCACGGTGGAGCTGATGGGAGCTGACTCCAGCACACTCATCTGATAATGCTCTGGCACAAGCAGCACACAGGGAGAGAGGGGAAAAACAGGCTGTGAAGAGGAACCAAAAAAACTGCAAAACAATGCAGTGGATCAGGGAGGCCACAACACTGCATGGCCTGCAGAGAGTCTTTAGCACCTGTGCCAAAGCTGTGACAGCCATGTGATTTCCTTTAAAAAGCCACAGCCCAGCTAAATTTCCTGGGGAAGTTTTATTTAGGTGTTTGTTATAGCAACAGGTTTGTTGAATGGGTTTTTTAAAAAACAGCAATACATCTGAAGATAGGAACTTCAACTAGAAAAATAGGACAATTAGCACCAGTGCTGTTGCAGCCATGATATAAAGCAGGATATGTAACAGATTTAATAGGACAGGCATCCTTTTATTTGAACCGTTTGTACAGCAGGAATAAACAAGTTTTGAGCACCACAAATCCTTTCTCAAGTCCCTTCAAAATTCTTTTCAGCCCTGAAGAAGGAATTTACCAGTTATTCTATTAAAATGTATTGCCTCTCCCTACAAATACTGTCTTGACCACATTTGTTGCATTGCTAATTTGCTTAACAGCAAGAGTGGGGAAAGAACAACCTGCTATTTTAAAAGTGTGTTTTGAAAATATAAATGCTATACCTAAAACACTTCTCTGGCATCATGCTTTACTTTCAAACCTTGCTTGCTGCACCCCCTCTGTTGACTGCATCAACTTTAGAAGGCTATTCTAAGCTTTAGAAGGCAGAATAACACCAAGGACGGGGTTTGATGAATTGTAATTTTTCTTAATCAAGAGTTTGATATCAGTTATAATTCATGCCACTTTCAAAACACAGCTGGCAATGGCATGCTCAAGAAGTTGCTCTAACAGAAGAAAAGTGGAAGTTGAGAGTTCTTGCTGATCCTAGTGGAATACTTTGATTTACCAGTGCAACATGCAGTAACAGATGGAAAAGAAGAATACCATCAAAAAGAACTGTGGGAGTTTTCATTACTCAGCTAAATGAGAAAAACATCAAAACCAAAATGGCCTGAGATTGATTTACACCACTAAAAGAACCCATTTTCTTTAAAAATCCCAAATTACATCCCTTGGAAGATTTAGTCCAATCAAAACTGAAAAGCTTCTTTCAAATTTTTAATGGCAATATAGAATTATGTAAATGAATGTGATAAAAAATCTTATTAACAAAGAGAAAAATATTGCAAATCTTGTTTTGAAGTTCACTTTTGTAAAAAGAAAGTTGTGTTTCTGGTAAGAGTGGAGCTGCCTATTTTTGCATCCATTAAGTATGGCTGTTACATATCTTAGGATATATCTTAACTGTATATTGCCAAGGTTTAGATGAACCTTTCCTGGAGAACAGCCTGTGTGACCACCCACTCCACACTGGCAGCACAGCTCCCAGATGCTCCCCTGCTGTGGCCTGGCTGGAGTGTTGAATGAATTATTTTTCAACTTCCAGCACCACCACATGTCCCTGATTTGAGAGACATCCTCTGGAGATAAGATGAAAAGGCAATCAGAGTAGCAATTAGTAGCCAAAGGCAATGGCCATGAGCAGTCTAAAAACAAAAATTCTCCTTCCTGCCTTTTTCTGTAAATTAATTTCCCATCCTTTTAAAAAAAAGTGTTGCTTTTGATAATTTTGGAGGTCAGAAACTTTTTCTGCAAGGCAAGGTGTTGAATAATTCCTTTTGACATTTTTTTTTAAGGAGAGTTCCATATCAAATCTGAAATTCTGCCCATCTCTAGTTGTCACTATCCTGAGTTTGAAAATGGCTGTCATGAGAGCTAACACAAAACTCAGCCACCCCTTTTTGCCTGTCGTGGCCCCAAGGGTACTCACTCTGTGGAAATCTGGGTGGATTGTCATTGACATCAGAGAGAGAGATGTTGACTGTGGTTGTTCCAGCTAATCCTCCCAGCTGTCCACCCATATCCTTGGCCTGGATAATCACTTCATAATATTCTTTTGCTTCTCGGTCCATGTTCATTAGAGCTGTTCTAATTAAGCCTGAGATTGAGGGTGGAAAGGCATTTGGGGAAAAAAAGAAAATGGCTGTTAGAGAATACACAAAGAGGGTAGAGGGCTCATGCTCCTGCATCCTATTCTCTGTGTCAAGAATGACTCTAGGCTCTGCACTGAGTCCCACCTTTCCTGGCAGAGTAAAACTCACCCAAGTGGAATCTAGGTTAACAGAAGGTGTGAATTTTAAAGAAGTCAGTTAAAATGCATCAGCTCTGGGACAGGCTGCACGTTCAAAATTAAAATGTTGCCTTCCAAGGAAAAGCTTTTTGGGAACAGTGTGCTAGGTCGAATTAAAGGCCCTGCTGAGGATGACAAACTCTGCACATCACTGCAAGTGTTGTGCTTTGCTAAAACATCCATCAAGACAAGTTTTCCAGAGCACGCATTCCCAGAGACCACCTGGCAGGAGCCCGGGGGCTTTGCTCCCGGACCCAGGCTGGGGCTGTGAGTGCAGAATGCGGGGAGACACCGCTGCCCCAGCTCCGGAGGGACCGCAGGGCGTCCCTTCCCTTCGGGGTAACACTTCTGCGAGAGGACATCAGGTGGCAGCAGCACTTCTCTTGTGGAGGCTGCGAGCGCCGGCCCGGGCAGCGCCGCGGGACTGCCGGGCGCTCCGGGCGTGCCGCTGTGCCCGGGACAGCTCCGTGTCCCCGCTGTCCTCCCGCTGTCCTCCCGCTGTCCTCCTGCAGCCCTGCCAGCCCCAGCCAGCCCCACAGCACCTCCGGGAGCTCCCTCGAGCAGCCGGCAGTGCAGCCCGGGGATGCGCTGCCATGGGATAATCCCTCGCTAGCGACACGTTTGGGATGTCCTTCGGGTGGGGGCAGGCGTGTCAGCCCCAGGCACCATCCCCGTCGCACGGTTCAACAGGCAGCACTTGCACATCAGGACACTGTTAACTTGACTGATCTGCATTTAGCCTTTATTTTTAGCAGAAAGGCAATGTATGGGTTTAATAAAAAAACAGTAAAAAGATATTGCGTTGGCAATTATCGCTGTGTGTGAAGGGAAGAAATAGTGACCGGTAGGAACAGCTCGCAGTGTGCTGCTTTAATCTTCCAGCGTGGAGCCCTTCAGAGTCCCATCCTGCAAAGCTGAGTGCCTCCTGTGAAGTGCTGTAGTTCCCCAGCTCCCATGGATATATAAATAAGATATGAAAATACTTAGCATTTTGGGAAGTATTTTCTCCATATATGAACACTTTGTAGGGAATTTCCACTCTTGGCTTGACCTAAAAAAAGACATCAGTGCCTAAACTCCAGGCTCTGCCATGCCTATCTTTGGGGCCTCCGGTCCCTAGAGGACACCAGGACTCAGAACCAGATCAGGTACCCAGAGATGCAGCAGTGCAGAGCAGGGAGCATCTGATGCTGCTGCACACAGTCAGTCAGCAAAGAAATGCTAAGGATGGTGGTGAACATAAAACCCATCCTTAGGGCTGTAGGAAAGGCTATGGGAAAGGTTAAGGTCCTCAGGTCTGCCAAAGAAATGTACTGGAACCATTTCTTTCACTAAAGTGAGTGAGGTTTGTGCTCTTAAGGAAACAGTAAAGAGCAAAGGCCCTTTTTTTCTATAAGAGCCAGATGGTTTATTAGGAAGTGGGAGAGTTCTTTTATCTTCTAGGGGAATATGATTGTGGTTAGCCTGTAAAAGTGTTCTGGAAAAAGGGAGGAGGAGGCTCTCAACTTTCCTTTGAAGTTGTGCTTTCACATAGACACTTGTTCGGCACCTGTGAGGACAGTGACAGAATAGGAATAGGAGCACACCTCTGGAATCAAGAGTCTGTGTCGGGAGATAAATGGTAAAGACTCCAAATGCTACTAGAGGAGGACTGTACTGAAATGAGTTGTCCACTACTGGGTGTTTTAATCACTATCTATCAATGCAAAGGAGCTGTTGGTCACTTATGCTCTGGCTCTATTTTAGAAAGACGTCAGAGCTGCAATTGCATTTTGTGAGCTACCAAATCCCACAGGTGAGTTTGTACAGGGGAAGTTGATTACAGTCCTGTGTTTGTCATAGGGAAACGGTTTATGGCTCACAACAGCGCTTACCCTAAGTGGGAGCCCAGTGGCTGACTGAGGCATCTAAAGGCTGAGGCATTTCTGAGCCTGTCTAGAGATGCAGGTCTAAGTGACTGGGAAGTTAATCAGAGGAGAAAAAGACCTTTTCTGAGTTAAATACTGATAAAGTACATGCTTTTAGACTTAAGGGCCCATTCTGTATAAGCTGCATTCTAATGGTTAAATCTGTTCTGGATCTGACCCTGAATATCTATCTTTTGCTTTCTTAGAAATAATTTGGTTCTCAACAAATCTATGATTACATCTTTATTTGTTTATCATTGACACCTGATTACAAAGGAGTATTAGTAGCTTTTTTATATTGTAAATATAAACAAAACTGAGAAAATAGCATGCCACATACAAGTTTGTCTTTGGCTAGAGCACCTACACTGTAAACTGCTAACTTAGGAAGAAGTTTATTCAGTGTTTTTCCTATGTTGTCCCCTAGGGCTCTTCAGTGACTATCGTCTCATGAGTTTCTGACCTTAGCACTACAGATGCCCTTTAGAAACTGTCAAAATCTGTCAGATTCCACTTTTGAGTATAAACCTTGGATGTATAGAGAAAAGAGAGAGAGAAAGCAAGCGAAACAGAGAGGATGTCCTATAGATGAATGTAAGGTTATTAACAAGAATACCCTTAGGTAAAACTACTCTAGATAAGTGCATCCTTTAGCTTGCAATTTCCAGTCCTGGCTGGTTCATAGATTTTTTTCCCCCGTAAGCCTTGTTATCAACTAGATCTGTTTAAGACATTTTTCAATGATAGAAACCAACAAGAGTATTTACAGCACCAAACCCATCTAGATCCTGAGTTGCAGAATATGGTCATTCAGGGGAATATATCACTGGTAAAAGCACATTCTTCTTCTGGAGCTCACTGCCACCGCATTACTTTACCCCTCACATAGTGCTGCTCTGTCTTGGCTCCAAGCCACAAAGCCACATTTCTCTGACCACAGCTATGATGCACTGCCCTTTTTTTTCTGCTTGCAACTTTTTCTTTTGGTTTCCACACTGACTCATTCCCTGATGAAATAGCATACCTGTCCGAGAGTCCACAGAGAAATATGGTTGTCCTTGGAGAATACTGTATACGACTCTCGCGCTGTTCCCATAGGTTGGGTCATCAGCATCTGTCGCTGTCACCTGGATAACAGAGGTGCCTGACAAAAAAACCATCAAGGTAAGACTTTGTGGGATAAAGAGCTGGCAGGAAAAGTACACAATTCAAAGTAAATTGAAATGCCTAACAAGAGCTTTCCCACACGGAACTTTTTCACTTGATGCTTGTAGTGCTTGTACTTATTGTTCATACTTGTAGCTCATTAGCACTAAAGGAATTAATAGGTATTAATTCATCATGCTTCTATAAGAAGATATAAAAGAGCAAGTACTCTATGGACCACAGTTACAGAATTGCTGAGCTAACAGTACTTTGTTATGGTTGACAGAGAGATAGTAATTATATACTGCTTGCTTCTTTCCCCCTTGTCTTGATTTTGAATATTTTTAGGAGGCAGCTCAAAGAAGTTCCATAGCTCTGCTGACATAAATCATGAACTGTTTTAACCGGCCCATAGATGCTGTAAGTTAACTGAGGGATCGAAATTGTACACAAACAGTGAGCATGAAGGGATGTATCTCTGAGATAATCTCTCTGTGGGACTGCAGTTTACATTGTATGGCCTAAAGATTATACACTGCTGAAGTGCCTTTGCAACCCACACAGAGGCGTATATATTTCTTTTTTCAATATGTTTTCAAGGTCTGCTTCCTCTGAAGCTAGAAATGGCTTGCAGGTGATGCAATTTATCAAGAACAAGGAGAAGGTGAGGCACAACTGAAATATGTGTGGGTTTTGACTCCTTAAAATGTCAGACAATGCCTTTATGAATGTATCTAGCCTTCTACATAATGTTTTGTGTTACAAACAAATCTGATGTTACTAGATAAGTGCTTGAAGATAAATCTGAATTCAAGCTAGCCATTACCATTAAAAATATTATTACTGACTGGAACTTCTGTATTTGGTGCCTCTCTCTAGCTTTATGTCAACATAATATTGAAGAATGCGAAGTTGAAGCATATCTGTATCTTCAGGACTTGAAATTTATATGGTATTATTATCTCTGCAGCGATGTCACAGAGCCAAAAAACAATAAGCAAACAAAGACAATGCAAAAAGAAAGAAAAAAAAGTCCAGAAAAACATATTTTATGTGATTATTTGAATTCTTATATGGAAATGATTTCTCCTGACTTGTGTCAGGATAGGAAAATAGTAAGGCTGCTCTTTGTCTTCTGCGTTGCAATAACAGAAGTGTCTTCAACATGATCCCATTCTGTAAAAGTGGAGGGCAAATAGTAACAGAATCTCAGGATTCACTGAACTTTGTTTAGTGCAGGCTTACATGAATTAGAAAGAGCCAATGATTGTTTTATGTCTCCCTGTTTTCAAGGGCTCCTGGACAGTAGCTGAGCTCTCAGTATGAAATTGATTAGGTTGCTAGGACTGTGTTATTTTCAGGATGGTAATGGCTGTCCAATGGATTTTATTATTTCTACCATCTGATGTCAGAGGAGAAGGGGCACTATGTAATACAAATTGTCTAAACATGGCATGTTTGAATCACACCTTTTTCATCTCTCAGGCTTCCCTTGGCATGTTTTCTTTCAGAGGAGCTGATGCTGTTGTAAAGCCTGTTGTCTCTTTTCTACAGCAAGCAGGCACCCCAGGATAAACTCCTCTGTCCTGCAGCTCCTGCACAAGGGGCAGAAGCTGAGATCACGGAGTCAGGGAATTTGTGTTTTGGTGACCATCTCCAATTTGCTCATCGGGGAAAGAGATTCCACAAAATCTGTCTTACCCACTGGTGACATTTCTGGAACAGAGGCTACGTAAGGTCCATCCAGGAACTTGGGTTCATTGTCATTGATGTCTTGGATTTTGATGATAAACTCTGACTCTGGTTCCATGGGCCGGCCCGTTCTCCTGTCCAGAGCCTGTGCTCTGAGGGTGTACTGTGACCTTTCTTCCCGGTCCAGCCGCTGAATGGCATGAATGTCCCCTGTCGTGTCATCAATTGTGAACACAATGCCAGCTCCCTCTCCTGAGAGGATGTACTTGATGGAGCCATCTCCCCTGTCCATGTCAGAGTGGAGCTGTGGAAAGGAGCAGGATTCAATTAGACCATGGGCTGGGTAAGCAGCTGCTGAGAAACACTGAGCACGTGATCATCCCCAGCATTCTGGTCTCACTGTTGGGACTCACAAGCTGGTTCTAATGAACTCGCTTTGCTGAAAGAGGCAAATAGTAAAGTCTGTATCGCGTAGCTGCAATTAAAAACCCTCTCCTGTCTTCCTGCTTCTGCACCCACACCTGTGCCAAAAGAAAAGGCAGAGGCACCCAAACAGGAACAGGCTCTGTGCCTTTTTGGAATTTCACTCAACACAATAATTATCTTTTGCCTTGTTACAATGGCCACTGAGAAGATTTGAGACAAAGTGAGGACAGCAAAGCTGCAGACTGTGATTCCTCACACGGCTTAAGAGGAGTCAAATACTACAGGGGTAGCATAATGTTGGGGCAAATAAGGCAAATCTGTTTGGGGTCAAGGGGAAAGCAGAATGGGAGAGCTGCCCAGTGAGTGTTATGATTCAGAAATATTTTAATATTTTTCTGTTAAATTTTAGTAATAAAATTAGTCTGGATCCTTACATCTTCAGGAAGGAATATTGTCAAACAGCGAGCTAAGCAGCAAAAACCAGTTGCTTATGCCCATGGCAGGCTATAGAAATGAGAACCATCCCAGATTATCTAGGAAATCTGCAAACGGATTTATTGCATGACTGCTAATTAGTTCTGAGCAGCCACAGATAACTGTGAGTGCAACAGAAAAGAGCAAGAGTTAACGCAGTACTAATTATAATCTAAAACAGGGAAACAAATGATTCTGGGGACTACATTCTGTTAAACACCTGGTTCCCATGAAATACTGGAATGACTATCAGAAGCAATCAAATTGGTTAATTTCACTCACACTATGAAAATCCCCAATGGTATGCTCATACTTCCATGCCTTTGAGGAACAGAGCATGAAGATCAATGCCCAGTGGCAGTAATCATTCAGTACCAAAAGACAGGAAGGCAATAGACTTGAGGTACAAAAATTAAAATGGTTCAGATGTGAATACTGTTTTCCAGTGTGATTATCATTGTGGGTGATGAATAAAGGATAAATAATAATTTTAAAAAAGCAGCGAAAGTGGGCTGGATTCAATTAAACACATTTTAAAATGCATATATGGGCAAATTATCTCAGAAATTTGGTCGGAATTAGGTGTGTGTTTAATGCTTTGATGAGCTTAAACGACAGATGGGAGTAATCTTGGAGGATGGGGCCAAACATAGGTAAATATTTGAACTGGAGAGAAAAATCTTAGAAAAATAAACTGAATATATGAACACAGTATTTGAAGAAATAATCCGAACAGAAATGCATAATTTGTGTCAAAAAGCAGAAGTCAAACTTTGTACAGTTGATTATAGACTATTCTGTCAAGAAAGAAAGAAGAAATCTCATCTCTGAGCTGTTTAAAACATAAGGATCATATACAATAACTTATTACATAGGAGAAAGTTCAATAGGAATGTGGGCAAAATGACTTATCTGACCTAAGCATTTCTAGTGCCACTGAAGCAGCTCCTCAGCTGTTTTAGGGCACATGATGCTGATCCTGTTGGCTGGGGAGTGGAAAGACCTTTTCCCCCAGTAAAGGGTCTGGTCGGGAGACACTCATTCTCCAAAGGGTGTCTCCCCTATTTGCCTCTTAGGTCAGGTGATCTATGCAAAACTTGGACCCTCTCCTGATTTTAGGGCAAGAGTGCTTTCAGCTGAGGTGAGACCCCATGGTTTTCCATGGCATATCCCAGCCTGCAGACAGGTCTGTATGGAGGTGGCCCATGGGCTCCAAGCAGCTTCTGGGACAGTGAATGTTAAGGGCAGCAGCGCTGCAATGTGGCTGCAGGAGCTGAAGGTGCAGGTTGAGACAATGGCTGTGTCAGGCCACTGGTATTTCACTTCCTCCTCCTCTGCCTCCATCCCTGCAGTGGCTACTGCATCTGAGAAACATCGATATTTTGGAGAAAATCTGGCAGCTCTCAGGCAATGCATTAACTGAATGGTGGAAGAACAAGCCCAGAAAAATTTGGCAGTGGTAAACATTTAAATTTAGATGGCTGCCATGTGTATTAATTCACATGCAGGCACCAGGACTGCAAACTGGTATATCTTCAGGAAACACCATCTTGTGATTAGTTTAAAAAAAGACAGTGGTTGTCATTATTTACCCTAAACACCCATTACTCAGAGATTATCACTGCAGGAGCTAGTAAACAGGATACTTCCAGAAGGAGGACACTATTATAGCTTTTCAAATTGATTCAGAACCACTAAGCTACATCTTGGGCATTTGTTTTAGTGCATTAGAACTCCAGTGAAAGAATACAGCTGCTGAGACAGATACAGATGTTAGACCTGATTGGGGAATTAGAGCTGGGCTTGATGGAAGAAAATGTGTTTTGGAACACCAACAAGTCCTCATTAAATAAGGAAAGGAAAAAAAAGAAAAGAGAAAGAGGAAGGCAAAGTCAAATGCAAAGTCAAAAGGCAAAAATGAAACAGAAAAGAAAGAGAAAAATGAAAAAGAAATTAAAAACAAGGAAAAAAGAAAACAGGAAAAGAAAAGGGAACAGGAACAGGAAAAGAAAATTAAGGAGAAAAATAAGAAGGAAAAGAAAGAAAAAAAAAGCATTTTTTGAAATAGCAGTAGGTGTTCAGGAATTTTCTGAATACTTAGAAGCAAATAATGAATCAAACTTATGGGTTAAATTACACTTTCTACCCAAAGCCCTGTTTGGAATAAATGCAGTTGTGAAGGGAGCAAACAAGGAGTGAACATGGCATGCTGTTAAGAATTTGGGAGTACAAGAGGATCTCTGTCTAGCTATGATTTGTTAGAAACATTGGGTCTCAACCAAGGCTAGGCAGTAACAAATGCTAGCAGCACTTTTGCAGCTTCTTGTATAACCCACTCTTTCAAGACAAAGCAAAAAAGAGTGTAAAAGACAAAAAGACATAACACTGCCAGACTGCAATAAATCTGAAAGAATTTGGTGTCTGAAGGGACTGAAGTTCACACCAAACCTAATATCAGAATGCTGTAGTTTGGAGTGTAAAAGTCACTGTGTTGGAAAGGTGATCTAGTTTTAAGTTGGCTCTGTTTTATGGGTGGTGCAATAAATTGTGCTGCCATGTGGTTGATACAGAGTAGGAGGAATTAATTTTTACTTTCTCCTTCATATTAAGGAATGGGTTATTGGAGGAATAAAGCTGATAACTCCTGAGAAGTTTTTAACTGTGTCAACCTGCATTGCTCCTTTTGATGAGAACTGTACAAAAAATTAGGGATGTTACATCTGCATTGGAATGACACATTTCCTGGCAAAGGGCATGTGGAAGAGAGTAGCACTGCAGTGAGCAGCTCAGGGGAGAACCCACACAGCTCTGCTAAGCAGTCTGTGAGTCTATGACTCCATCCTTGATGTGCTTCTCCCTTCTCTGCTTCCAGGGAGGTAGCACCTGCAGGGGATTTTTGTAAGGATGCAGGAGCGAGTGTGGTTGATGTACATTGATAGTCTACAGAGAGGTTGCATTTTATTCATTTATTCAGCTGCTGTGATTCAAATGCTTCTTTGAAACAGGGTTAGGGAGCCTCCAACATGGCAAAATGGTGAAGTGTGTTCCCAGTTCAATTACTGACACAGTGTCGGCTGCTCATTGAATGTGGAAAATACCTGCTGTAGCAAATGAAGGGGCTTTGGTTTCCCTGGTTCATCCTATTAGCCAATAATGGCCACCTCTAGGAAAACCGAAGCCTTGTATTTATCTGTGACAGGACCAGGAACCCTCTGAAGCTGAAGTACTTTAAATCACTATCATGAGCACTGGAGAAAAGGAAAATTGTACTGACTCCACATCAGGAAGCTTCTTTTATTTCTCTGTCCAAAACATATTTTGCACCTTGCCTTAATAGTTGTCTAGGGAAGTTCACAGAATCATAGCAGCCTTGGAAATCAAATTAGGCAAGCCTGGACCTGTAGTTCAAGCCAAGGTGCTTTTTTGGTTGCTCCAGTCATAGAGAACCAGCCAGAACCAGCTGCACAGCTGGCTCTGTGCTGTGCATTCTTTCTCCTTCTGACAGGGGCTTGGAGAGAGCAGATGGATAAAAGCAAGGCCTGGCTATGAGGATGTTTCAGGATGCTGTGAGTGATATCAGTTATACCCGGCCTGGAATGGGACCCAGGGCTGTTTTGGGGGGCTGGTGTGAGCAGCCAGCAGCAGACTGAAAGCCCTGTTGCACCTCTACCCCACTCTGTGCAAGACTTACAGAGCTATTTTTGAGCCAGCCTGAGGTGACTCGGGCTGAAAAATTTCTGGCCTGCCAGAACAATTAATTCACCCCACAGTCTATTCCCTGCTGACTCCTTTCCTAAGGATCCCTGAGACTCAGGCAGCGCAAATGCAGGCGGGCGATGAATTGAGGGAGGCTGCTGCCTCTCCGGAGTGCCTGTGCCCCAGGCTGGGTGAGGCGAGGGGAAGCCTCTGCCCCACAGAGCACCAGAGCCCCCATCCCACCGCTCTGCTGGCTGCTCCCCACCCCACCGGGGGTGGGAGGCCATGGAATGTGTGAGCCCCAGAGGTCCCTCCTGGGAGCAGAGTTCCCTGGTGCCGGGACGACACGGAGCTCTGCCGAGTTAGGAGGCGTTCCGAGGGATCCAGCTGTGTCAGCTCAGCAGTGCGGGGGACTAATTGGCCCTGTTCACCGTGGGTGCTAATTAGCCCTTGTGCACCCTGGTGCGAGCACAGCCAGCGCCCCGGCAGCCTTGGAGAAGCTCCCTGATGGCAACTTGGGCTTCAGAGCGGAGGGTGCAGGGCATGAGGAGCCTTCTTGGTGTCCTCGTGTCCTTCCCTTGGGCAAAGCTGAGCAGTGGCAAGCTCAGGAGTGCTGCTGACTGTGCCAAATGTGTGTGCTCCTAATGACAACAGCAGGTCTAAAACATGAGCTGGTTTCTCCCCATGCGTGTTTTACCTAAGATTCGGCTCACAAGCGGAAGCCTGAACTCATTTCAGATGTAACTGAGAATGTGGAATAATAAGCCTGGCCCTTGTTCTGAAGCTGGGAATTGCCTGAAAACAAATATTAATTTCTTTATTCAATAGAGATCTCAAGACCTGAAAAGCTAGGTGCACAGATGAATGAAGACTAATGAGGTCTCATCTGGAGGCAATCACTAGTAATGCCATTGCTGTGGGAGGAAGGCGAGCACATCTTGCTGTCAGTCATGCAGGGATAAATCAGGAGGAGGTCTTCTGAAGTCTGCAGATCCATTTTGATTTATATTGGTGTGACTGAGAGCACAGTTTAGCTCTATGGAGCTGTAGAATGATAAATATGAGTCCAAACTGGGCTTCTGGATATGTAATTTTTTTTTTTTTCCTGCAGATGGATAGCTTGGAAGGAAAACTGGAGCCTATATCTCATAAAATATAAACAATGAAATGTGAAGGAATTATTTTCTGACATACTTTCTAAGTTATTTTTCATATATACCTATGTGTATTCTCCACTTGTCATAGCTGTATCTGATATTCTAGGCATGTAAAATTTGATTGTGTTGTTCAAATACTTAAGCACATTAACTCTCTCTGCATTATTGTCCAGATTTGTCACCTTGGTGTAGGATAGAAGCAAACTTGACACTGACCATAATAACACCTTGAATAACAGGGTTAATACAGGGTCAGTGATTCAGGTCTTTAAAAACCAAAAAGGAGGATGGTTATAGTGAGACAGATTGTGACAGCAGACGTCACTTGTCTAATTTCCATCATCTTCTTCCTCAGAGAGACACAGAAAAGTAAATGCAAAATATTACCAAATGAATGTACAGGATGGGCTCAGGAATATATTTTACACATATTTGTACTGATGGGTAGGTTCTTGGGGCATAAGGGATCTAAAAATAGGGCCCTTCATAGTTGGATTTAATGAGGTGCCCATCTACCCTTCTAGATGTGGAGAAACTTCTCAGTAGTCCACAAAATTAACCAGCAGTCAAGATGTGGTAAGCCAGAATATACTCTGACCCTGAAGATTTACTGAAAACAAAAACTAAAATGTCAGTTTTCAAGGGAAACTGGCTACTTAATTTGATTTTGAATTGCAGTTTCTAGCTGACTTGATCATGGACAGAAGCATGGTCACAAACTCTTCCTTTCTTTCATAATCCTTATATGTCAATATAACCTTGCTTTGCCTTGACATTGTAGGAGTCCCTGGAAAAATTGTGGCAGATTTTCTAACACTACCTCAAATAGCAGATGATGATTGATGCAGCAGATCTCTTTGAAATAGGCAAATATATTGACAGCCCCTTGAAACAGAAATTCTTCCCAAACAGAGGTGACATGGGACAAAAGCTCTCGGGAGAAGAAGTGAAATTAATGCGGATGAAAGAAGGCAAAGGCACTTGAGGAAACATCCTGTGTTTCACCACAATCTGCAAATACTCAGATGGATACACTCTTACAGACATCCTCCCACTGTGGATCTTACCTTCCCAACGTAGAGAGGGTCAGTTCCTGTGTATTCCTCCAGAACAAAAAACTGGTTCCACACCCAGCTCCTCTTCATACGCTGATGCAGCTTGTCTGACAGGTTGTCTTCTTGCCCTTCAGTGAGGGGGCTGGCACTTCCTGACAGCACAGTTGTAGTAAGGTCCATCAGTCCCCAAAAATACAAGGAGACACCAAGTCCAAACAAGTTCTTTGCATTGCTCATTCTACCTGAAGTCCACATCCGTATACTAGGACTGACTTAAAAGTCCTAGTAACTTGGGTCCCTTGAGAATAAAGTAGGTCCTCTATGTAGTCCTTTGAAATGTCCAGGAGAGATCTTGGTTCTCAGAAATGCAGTATCCTGTAAAGTAAAAGGAAATTCATAAGAGGATGCCTTTTTCCTCAAGGCAAATGAGTTTTCTCAATAGGCAAATATGCTATAAGTTATTAAATCCTCTATATAAAAATGTAAGATCAGGATGCACAACTTTTGAAAACAGAGATACTGTTACCATATAAGCTGAAGACTTGGAGCCTTAGGTACAAGTCATATCAGGGTTTAGTCAATAAGTATGAGTTCTTGACTTTGCTAATTTAGCTGTAGGGTTGCTTTATGATATTGATTGGCATGAGTTAAGTGCATACTTTTTAGAAATATTTATGACCAGAAGTCCTTAGAGAATATTTAAATACAGTTCACTCTGGAAAATTTTGATAGCTGGAGAACAATATTTGGCAATCATCTTTCTGTTTGCAAACTGTGCCATTGTCATTACACACATGACCATGCACACATGTCTACATAAATACAGATATTATTGCTATATTGCAAACCTTGAGTATAATTTCTGGAAGCTCCAAGTTATTTCTGGCTTTAATTAGTCTCTCAGCCTCTCTGTTGCTTGAATTCAGGTTTCACACTCTGTTGCCTCCTCTCTGAGGAACAGATTGCTGCTACAAATGCAACATTTCTAGAATTTGAATGGTCAGTTAATCATTTTATAACCCACAAAATGTTTCACAGTGCTGATGGCCACATACTCTATGTCCAAGCAAGTCATGCTAACATGTTTTTTTCTTTCACAGTCCTTAAAGACCTGTTTAGACAAAGGAATAATGACCTCTATCAGAGGACGCTTTCTCATCAGTCTAGGGTCTTTTCTTGTCATAAAGTCAGTTTAGTTGGTGACCTCACTCCAGGCTATGGATTATAGCAAACCTTTAGCAAATTATTTTGCTGAACTTCATGATCTAGTGCTGCACACAAGTTACTCTGTCAAAGCACTCCATACATCCTCTGTTGGTCCAGTATTTTTACTGCTCCTTTAAGGAACATTCATGACTAACAGGATGGGGTTTTTCATGACAAAAAATAGACATTTTTCATGACAGACTAATTAGGAAAGGTACGTGGAGCTCTGAGTTTTAAGCCATTAGTTTGCACTTCCTTTTACTGCTGTTCTACACTTAGGTGTTTAGGCTTAGTTAATTGTTTCATCCTGTGGAGATAAATGTACAAGATGTCTGTCAAATATTTCCAACTGAAATCCTTGAAAGATTTCAAAAGAATAAAAAAGCATTTTAGACAGTTGTGTGACATTAAAGACTGAGACAATGCAGTGTTTTTAACAGAGAGGAAGAGTATGGTTGTGAATTCCCCGGCAAAAGGCTGTTACAACTGGAGAACTGGGTACACTTAGAAATCTACTGAAACAGAAATTCAAAAAATAATCCAAAAGTTGGCTGAAATCTGAAAAGGGCAGTGTAAGTCTGGAAGTGATGTCCACAGGGGGGGCAGAGATAAAATGACCATCTAAGACTAATTTCTACACAAAGTAATGTTTCCAAGTATAAAGCCCAGAAGTATAACCACACAGTGCTGCTAGCCTATACAGCTGTAAAGTGTAGCAAACTAATGGATCCTTTACCTTGAAAAAGTTTACAACCTAAGCCTGAATAGATATGACAAAGAAAGTCAAAACTATAAGCACAAAACATGGTAAAATCCTTCTAAGCAGAGCAATGTCCAGAACTGCTTGTTGTTTAGATACTGGCTACATAATATGCTAGGGTTTGTTGTCTGCAAAGCTAAAGACTGGGGATTTACTGTAAGCAGTACAAGCCCAGAAGGACCACAGTAATCTCTGTGTGTCTGTCACTTCATGAAGAAGTTGTACCAGCTCTTTATGAGAGGCAGGGACGTGGCTCACAGTCCCTGCTGGATGCTCACAGCCACAGGAGAACTATGTCCAAGAGCTATGTGTGCAAGGCTTGCCTCTCTTTGTCCTGTGATGCCTTTGCTCCAAATCTCCAACACACCTCTGCCCTGGGAGAAAGAAGGCTGAAGCCCTCCGCTCATAAGTATGCCCGCCATGTTATGGGTGTGTTCTGAACAACAAGTTATTCTTTGCAAAGTCAGGGGGACGTTATTTACAATCCATGTTTTGCTGGTGAGTAAATGTGGGGAAGAGCTTCCCACCACCTCCCAGTATAGTTTGAGGGAATACACCCTGCGACGGGAAGAGAAACTGTGGGTAGGCTATGATCCAGCAGCTAAGGTCCTACCTGGAGTTTTTGCTTTAAGAAACTCCCCCTACTGCACAGATCAGTTGCATTTTTGTTAATGTGGCAAAGAGGTGGTACAACACTATGCACCAATTCCTGTGGCAATCAGAATTGTGTTTGAAGGTGAATTCTCAAACTACAAATTCAAAACGAATGGTGTCAGGTGTTTCCTGCAATTAAGTTCAGCCATCAAGGATCAACAGTGCTTAAGCAAAGGTATCAAAACATTGTTAAATGAACTTGCAGAGTTACCAGTATACCTGTAAGGAGGCAATAGCAAAAGAAATCTGATCATCAGGATGCTTTTCATCCACATGTTCATTAAATCAGGAAGAAGCAAGGTAAGTAAAAGCAGTGAAAAAAAGGTCAAGAGGAGTGATATAAATGCTTCAGGCTCTTTGTGAGAACAGCATTTGCCACCAGAATGTGCAGTTCCATGAGGAACCTTTCTTGAAAACAGTGTGCAACTCAGTGGTCCCTGGCAGCAATATCCCTAAGAACATTTCTTATTCCCAATGCAATCTCATTCTGCGGAATGGCAACTGTCAGGAAACTTGCCATTAAGTAATGTAAAGTCTTGTAAAAGGATGTTCCTTCCTTGAGCACCAGTAATTTCCCCATTTACTGCCAGTCCATGGTGACATGGTCATATATTTTTGTAGAAATGGAAGAAAGCAGTAGTATTGAAGTGGAACAGAGTTTTTTTTTTTTTCTTTGTTGATAGCAGAGTTTCTGCTTTCTCATGCCTTTCCAAAACTGTGAGCAAGCAGGCTCAAACCCATTGCATTTTGCTCCTTGCCTAAGGGCAAATTGATACCATTAATAACAATGTTTAGTCCACTGTGGTTCCTCTCCGAGACTGAAGGAGAATGACATTTTTTTCTGTCTAAGGTCCTCAGCTGATGTTAAAGGGATGAAAAAGGCCTCTGTTAACTCCTGGGCTGAGATGCTGCTGATCTCTCTGGGTCCTTTTTCCCACAGTGTCACCAACTTTGGGTGTGTGCTTTGGCTTCTGCATCTGCAAGGCCTGCAGGCCAAGGCAGGCAGGCAAGGCATTTCTGAGTGGCATAAAAAGGCACTCACATAAATTTACGGTTTGGACTGTGTGGTAGCACAAGTGGTGGCTAAGATAGAGTTAAGGCCATGGGTGACTGAGTGTCTCAGAGGACTCATGCAGATGAGTGTAATGGACGAGTACAGGGTCACTTCAGCTGTAGACACAACACTTGGTTAGGATAAGAGCCAGGTGCTTGGGGTGGATTAGCTTGCTGGGGTCTTTAGACTTCAACGGTCCAAAGCGGTTTTTGCCACAAATGGATGGCTCAGGCTTGGAGGCAGATTCTGTTCCTTGCAGGGAATCAGGGAGCCCCATACAGGAAGGGTTACTTGGCTTTACGGAGTGAGGCAGAACTGAACTGTTAATGTTCCCTTAATGCAAATTGTTTCTTGGAGCCCTTCAAAATGCATTCTTAAGGAAATCTGCAAAGATGAAATTGATGAGCCTGTGCTTGCCATATGAAATATATATTACAGAAACATATTTCATGACTCAGCATGGGGATGTGAAAAGAATTTGAAGGCAGTAAAGAGAGGGAAATCTTTGTTTTCCTTGCTCAGACACAAAATTTATTGAGCCTGGGAAAACTACAAGACCAAAATCTGTGAGATTTCTGCAGAGGGTGCTTTGTTTCTCAAGAATAACTTAAATGTTTCATTTTGTTTCTCACAGTTTTCTATTCCGTGGTAAAACATGTAGGTGTGTCTGTGCAGTTTATATCCCTGACCCAAAATGAATGTCTTTCTTGCCCCTGCTTTTGTGATGAATATTTGATTATCAGCTCGGTTGTTTAGGTTACTTTCTCTGTTCCTGCCTTGCAAGCATTGCTGAAAATCCTTTTTTTTTTTGTCAGTCAGCAGTTACCAATACAACTTTTGGCTTCATAAAGACCTATGAAGATCTGATTGATCTTTGTGCTACTTGTGGTCCATACATGGTACAAAGGAACTACCTAATTATTCTACAAAAAAAGAGTTCACCAATGAAAATATTAATTTCTCTTTTAGCCCGTATTGCAAATTAAAGTAGGCATATTCCAAGTGTGAACTACTCTTCATGCTCCAATTCTACAGACATCCCGCCCCCCTCTCCCCCACCCCAGCACATATTTGTTCTGTAATTAAGTTATTCTTAATTGAATAGCTAATTCTGGACAAAGATGAAAAGGAAAATGAAATAAGTGCCAGAACCAACTTCTGGCATTTCTTGCAAGTGACCCATTTATCTTGTTAATTCTGAAGAGAACAACACTTCCAACAAAAGGATAAAACCATTAATAGTTTGGATGACCATATGGGCACCCAGAGAGTTCCACTGGGATTGAAATGTATTGTGCTCAATACATATTTACATAAATGCCAAGGATTTTTTAGTCAAAAAGCTCAGACTTGAAAAGCTTCACTGACATGCTTACTGTACTCATCACAATGAGCAAGTGGTCTCCCAGAAAGTCAGTGCACTATTTGTATTCATAAAATTAATTACATGCTTATATCTTTTATGCCTGGTCCTTGCAATGGATTTTGCTGTGGGGATTCAGGACTCTTGTAGAATGCTACAGACCTTAGTGGAACCCATGCAGGCACATGGCTTGAGTGGGAGCAATTCATTTGTAGTATTACACTGAGAAAGTGGGGAAGAGAAGCAACCAGTATTAACCCCCCCCTTCCATTTTCTCTGTACATGAGTACACAAATTCATATTATCCTTAAGTAAACACTTCAAATATGTCATGCTTC